GGGTGGCGCGAGGAGGGGGTAGCAGGGAGGGCAGCTGGCAGGGAAGTCTGCGGGAGGGACAAGCAGCACAGCTGGGGCCAAGTGGGGCCACCAGGAGGGTTTCTTGCCCTAGAGGGAAACTGAGGCACAGGGTGATGGGTGAACAAGAGGACCTTGTACCCCCAGAGAGCTGACACCACCCCAGTTCCCCGGCAGCCTGTCCCAGGCTGGGACATGGGGTCCCTGTGAGGTCAGAGGGGAGGCTCAGCCCCAGGCTGCCCCAAGGGGCCCTCCAAATGTTGCTACTGGAAACAAAAAGTGTTGGCGGACCTGGACAGGCATTTGTCCCCGCAGAGATTGGCACCCAGCACCCAACCACCAGCACCCACACCACTGCTCCTCCCTGCAAAGGTCCCTGTGGTCAAAGCAGGGCGGGGGGGGAGCAGGATTGGAGGTGGCCACAGCCTTTCCCTTGCCCTGCAGGGCATAAGCCCATGGCCACAGACTGAGCAAAAGAGGACAAAAGGAAACTGCTCAGTCAAAGCCGTGTGAGGACCCAGCAGCAATGCCAAGACCCCAAGAGTCCCAGCTCCTGAGGTCATATCAGGGAAAAAGTCTCACAACTCGTGTCAGCAACCTGCCCCACCGCTGACTGCATGTCCCAGCCAGATGCTCCTCTCCACAGGCAGGAAAAGCCTCTGCCCTCAGTCCAAATCATAGTCACACCCCAGACAGGGCCTCAAGGGGAAACTGAGGCACAAGGGGTCAAGAAGAGCAGCCCTGACTGCCAGGGCAGGCACACACCACTCCCCTGTCTTGTGTCTCCAGGGGCCTCTCACCCTCAGCATGGAGCAAGAAGTTGGGATCAGCCTGGGTTTGGCTGTCCCAATTACCTGGCACTGCCCCATCACCATCCCCTCCCACCCCATCACTAACCCTTGCACCTCCCCACATCCAAGCACTGTGAACCTGTCCAGGACTTTTCCACACCCCTCAAAAACCCAGCTGGAGCCCTGGGCAAGTGCCCACCAGGAGCCAGTGCCAAGCAGGCAGCATGAAGATGAGGACCACGGAGGTGGACCGAGTCGGGAGCCGGAGGAGGGCGTGGGCAGGGCGCGGGCAGCCACACAAGACAAAAACCGGCGAGGGCAGGACCGACACACAGCGAACAGACAGACAGACAGACAGGAAGCTGCCGTACTTACAATCATCTGCCATTGAGAGGCGAGCGGAGCAATTGGAGAGAACAACCGTGACATGAGTTTCGGCCTCCTCCTTCATTCTCCCCAGCCCCACATGCGCCATGGTACCAGCCCTGGCCACCCTCCCTCACCCCCACCAGTCAGGAGGGACGGCAGAGCCAGGGCTGTCCCCATCTGACACACCACAGCACTTGACCTCAGTGCCCTGCCACCGGCATTGCAGGTCTCCACAGTTCCAGAGTGGCCCATCCCAACCTGCCCGGTCCTTCCTCACTGTGGCAGGGGGCTTTGCCCAAGGGGTGCTCAGCTCCAAGGAGCTGGTGGACCCCACTTGACAATCGGCTCTGACACATAGCCCCATGCCACCAACCTGCCCAGCCACCCCCAGAGCCACCCTGGGCAAGCTGTTCCCTGCCATACAGCCTGGCCCCAGCATGGCCCCCTCCAAGGGCTACCTCCCTTCAGGAGAGTCGCTCAACAGATCCACATGTCCATGCCACCTCCTCTGCCCTCACCATGGGGCACGCTGCCTCCAGAATATGGCCAGGAAGGGACAGAGATAGGGACTGGGATGGCAACTGGGACCCAGTTCCTGCTAGATTTGGCCACCTCTGGCCAAGGTTGTGTGAGTCTGGCAGGAAGTGATGCAGGGCTGACCTGAGCTGGGCTCTGGGCTGTGACAAGGTGCCAGTGAGGTGGCACCACTGCGGGCTAACAGGTCACCAATGCGCTGTTCCTTACAGACACAGCACAAGGAGCCCCACAGCCCCAGAAAGCTGATACAGTGGCCAGTTCAGGCTTCAGTAAAAGCCTGAACTCAGCTTTGTGACAGTGACAAAAGCCACTGAGAGTGCCAGGGACAGATGTGTGGCTGGCTCAGAGCCCTTGGTGTCACCCTTCCCTGCGTGATCCCAAGGGAACCTCTGCCCCAGGAAGCTTTGGGGTGCATGGCTCTGTGCAGGGAGGACACAGCGATGCGATACAGAGCCTCAAAGCCTGCAGACGTCTCTCTGAGAAAGGACCATTTCCTGGGCTCTGCTCTGGTCCCCTAGAGCCTGTTCAGCCCAGGAGCAAGGAGGAGTTCAGCCCTGGGGCAGGGACATGGCCCCCAGTCCCCACAAAGCTGGTCCCTGCTCTCTAGGAAACCCCACAGCAAGGCCAACACGTGGTGGCTCCCCGCATCCCAAGAACTTTCCGAGTCACCTTGCGCAAGGACTGTGCCCACAGCTGGGGCTGATGAGCATGGCACGGGACACTGCCCCATCTTGGAGGGAAGGATGGAGAGGAAAGGACCAGTGCCCTCTCTTGGTGCCATGATGGAGATGGCAGGAAGGTCCTTTGGCAAAGCCAGCCAAAAGGGTGCTGGGCTGCACCCGAGTCAAGGATGACCCTTCCTCTCCTTCATCCCTTTCCTGTCCATGAGCTGGGGGCAGCTTTGGGCAGGTTGCCGATGTCTCCACCCTCTCAGCCAGCAATGTCCCACACTGTCCTCAGTCAGCCACCTGCATCTCAGCTCCAGGCTCCCTTGTCCCTGGTTCCCCTCCCTGTCACTCACCGTCTGGTCAGTGAGCGGGGGCAGGACGATGGTCTTCTCCATCGTGTTCATCACCAGCTTCCAGAGCTCCTTCAGCACTCGCTTCAGCACTGTCTTCTCGCAGATCTTGGCAAAGAGTGTCAGGCTGCAGAGAGGGGACAGGGCTGAAGGTTTCTGCATGGCACCTTTAATGCCATCCTTTGCCCGGTCACCCCGATCCTGAAGGTCCCCCATAGTCCTGAGGCAGGTCAGGAACACTGGGGGTCCCTGTTGCCCCCCCACACTCACTTGCTGTCCAGGAGGTCCATGATAGGCTGCAGGACGTTATCAGCATCCTGCGCAACGCTGCTGCAGGTGCTGGCAGGGACGTTGCCAGTGCCCTTCACCTGGCTCAGGATGTCACCCATCTGCTTCACGCACTCCTCGATGTGCGGTTGGAAACTGGGAACCACAATGCCCAGACAGCTCAGCATCTCCCACAGTTGCACCCAGGACCCACTTGGCTGAGCAGAGCCCCCAGCCTGGCCCCAGCTGGACCTCTCGACCTCTCCTTGCCCTACCACCCACACCCTCTTGTCCGGGGGTACCTGGTGGCAAAGACTCGGCTCAGCTCATCCAGGACGTTGTTGAGTTTCACCTGCAGTTCCTTGAGGATATCACTGGCTTCTGTGTCCAGCTGGAGAAGGCACAGGTTAAAGCAGCCTCAGAGTCCCTGGCCCAGCCCTGAAGGGGGTCTCTGCACCCCAAATGCACCCCTGGGCAGGGTGAAGCCCATCCGTTGCCCAATGTGGTAGGAGAGCAAGGTGCCATGGGGTGGGACAGCATGATCCCATACAGGTATGAGGAACTGGGGTCTGCTCCCAGTACTGCAGAGCCAGGGAAGGGGCTGCCTCTGGGGAGAAGAGACTGATCCAGCCCTTCCACAGGGTTCCCTCCTGGACACCCTCCATACACACCTCCTTCCCACCCATGGCTTCAAACATCTTCTCGAGCTGGACGCGGAGCTGCTGGATGTTGTTCATCAGGATGCAGGGCTAGGGGGGTGGGATGGAGAGGGGAGTCAGCACCAACAAATGTGGCTGGAACAGCTGCCCAGCACCCCAGGTCCCTCCCACTGGGGGACAAGAGAGCAGTCATGACACAGAGCCCTCCCTGGCAGCATTTCAGGGACGGCCATCGGACAGAGATGCAGGGCAGGACCTGCGTCATGAGGACCAGCTCTGCAGCTGAGGTGATGGCTGGGTTACCGTGCGTGGACAGTCCTGCCTGGCAGTGCCAAGCAGGTGGCAAGCAGAAGGGAGATACATCACCACTTTCTCCTTCTCCTTGGAGCAGTATGAGGCAAAATCCTTGGAGATGATCTCAGCATATTGGAGTAGCACATTGCTGATGGTCTGCAGTCAAAGGAGGGCAGCAACAAAGACACCCAGACAGCAGCACAGAGGAGGGAGGAGGGAGAGAAGGAGATCATGAATCCCAGAGCAGTGAAGCAACCCAATGCCTGGATACACCCTGGGACCCTTAGACCCCCTGCCCCACAGATGTGCCAGGACACACATGGGCACAGCCACTGGAAGCCAGATCCAGCACATCTGGTTTCCACAGGCAGCTCCATCACCAGCACAGCTGTGAAGGCATCAGCCACCAAAACTACATGCAACTGCCACCCACACTTCAGCAAGCCAGTGGCATTTAATTAATCTTGATTAATTAACCAATTAACTCCTTAATTAGCTAATCTCCTGTGCTAGACCACAGGGTCTGTTGGTGGCACATTTGCTTGAGTATCGCTGTTAGAAGTGGTCCAAGCTGTGCCCTATGCCACTGCCTGTAGCTGGATGGGAGGTAGCAGAGAAAGCCTGGCAGCCCTGGGCCAGGGTTGGGACCAGGATCCCAGAGGTGCTGCTGGCCCAGCGGCCCCCGCCCCCACAGCTGCCCACCTTGGCAAACCTTCGCATGTAGTGCCCGACGATCTGGGGGTCAGGGCACTCGAGTTTCTTGATGATCTCAAAGCTCTGGTTGAGCTGGGAGAAGACGTCCACCACGGAGCAAGAGAAGAGCGCGTGCTCCGACGTTTGCTGGAACTGGGGGAGTGGAGAGGCAGTGTCAGCAGCAGGCAGGGGAGGAGATTTTGGCCCCGGTGACGACACACTGAGCATCAAGGGACAAGTCCCTTGCCCACCCCCAGCTGTGCCTGTGCCCACAGACAGCCCAGTCCATACCCCATCCTTCTTGTCCCGCTCCAGCGCTCCATGCAGGAAATCCCGCGACACCTCTTCATTCTCATCCAGCCACTGGATAACGAAGGGCTCGAACCAGCTGGAAAGGAGGCCCATCCCCGGTGAGGCCAGCCAGTTCCCAGGGCACAAGCACCCCCTCCCCTGCACCTCGAGGGCTGCACTCACGCCGGGTACTCAGGGACGCGGCTCTTGAAGGAGGGCAGCTCGGTGACGTACTCGTTGTACAGCCACTTCACCTTGAAGTGCAGGTTCATGTAGTCTGCGCTCTTGCACAGGCGGTGCTTGTCATGCTCTGCATAGGGATGGCAATTGCATGGTGGGGTTGCTTTGAGCCCCAGACCTGGGGAGTGGCTGCCCCAAGGGCACCTCTGGTGATGCCAGGGTAACGGGGTGGAGACAGAAGTGTTTCTTGGGTGGGATCTAGGCATGGTGTTGATGAAGGAGTAAAATGGTGAGGTGTGAGCAGAGTGTGGCTCCTGACTGGTTTCCTCCACCCCAGCTCGGGGCAGCGCAGAGGGACTCACCCTCCATCGCATACTTCATGTCCTGAGCAAAGAGGTTCCACATCACCTCGGCGCTGATCTTCCCCACATTCAGTTCCTGGGGGAACCTGGGGCGAGGGAAAAGCACGGACACGGGTGGACCAGCCCTCCGCTTAGAGATACACCCCCTTCACACCTCCCACCTGCCTTAGTTTCCCCATCTGTAGTTACAACCCCCTTCCAAAGGACTAAAGCTACCATTGCCACCATGTGGGCATCCCCCAGGTGCAAAGCAGGGTCCCCTTTCCCAGCACCTACTCACTGGTTCAGGCAAGGCGTGTAGGAGTTCTTGTCCTCCTCGATAATGGAGACTATCAGGGTGATGAGCTTGGACCAGAAGTCCAGGTTTTTGATGCTGGGGCCCTGCTCCTCAGGGGGCACCTCGCCTTTCTTAGTCTGGAGTGATGGGGACACAGTAGAGGCTCCAGTCACCCCACCCACAGGGCTTGACTTTGTGGTAGGGCTAACGAGGAGGCAGGAAGGCTCTGGGAACACCCTGGAGACCCCCACAGAGCCCCCCAGTCTCAACCCCGCAGCAGTGGTGCTCGAACCCTGCCCGAGGCTTGGGACTCATTCTGCACAAGGCTGAACGCTCTGGAGAGGAAACAGGAGCACCGCACGAAGAAGAAGGGCAGGGGATGGGGAGGGACAGCGAGGTCCCCTTACAGCACCCGGCATCCCCGTGTGTCCCAGCTCCCCCCCACCCCACGCACCGGGTCTGTCTGGTACTCGCGACTGTACAGCTCGTGGCAGTTGTTGAAGATGTACTCATAGGTGGAGTTGAGGCAGGCTTTCACGCAGTCCTTCACCACCTGGCTGGCTCGGGGGGGGCTCTGCAGCTCCTGGACCTGGGGGTGCGGGGAGGGAGCAGTGCTGGAGGCAGAGCCACAGCCCTGGCTGGGAGCTACCATGGGGCCAGCACAACCCCAACCTTGCAAAGAACTGAGTCCAACAAATCAGGCCCCGCACCAGAGGAACGGGGCGAGTACCTTCATCCGAAAGAAGGTGATGCTGGTCAGCAAATCCCCTGTGGACTTGAGATCCTGCAGCCGTTCAGGACTGCTGGCAGGGAAGTTGTTCTGCCAAAGGGGATGAAAAGAGCAGAGTCACACACAAAGCTCTCACAGGGGCAAGTGGAGGGGCAGAAAACAGCTGCCTGTTCTTTCAGACCTTATTAGACAGGTGGGGAAACTAAGGCACGGCAGGCACCTTACCCGGTACATGGAGAGGTCGATCCGCAGTGAGTTGTGCAGTTGGTCGAGGAGTTTGACGAACCGCTCCTTCTGCGGAGAAATGCCCCGGAGCCAGGTAAACGGGAGAAAGGCGGCAGGGACCGTCCCCCCTCCCGCTCCCCCTGGCTATGTCTGCCCCCAGCCCGGCCCACACTGCCCCCAGCTCATCCATCTCCTCCCTGCTGTCCTGCTGTCCTTCCTGCCTTCCTTCCTTCCTTCATCTGAGCCCCGTGGGTGGGCACAGGAGGCCTGCGGAGAAGAGCGTGTCCTCGCTGGTGGTGGGGCTTGCTGGCAGCCGTCGATGGCTCCAGGGGCACATGTGGACGTGGCACAGGATCGAGAGGCAACACTGCGCATCCCCTTTGCTCTCGCTGGCGGTCAGGGTCGGAGGGGTGACCGGCTGCTCTGTCTGCCCTGCCCACTTAAACACCTCCAAGTCTGGGCTCAGAGCAGGAGTGGGGAGAGGGGGTGCAGGACCGTGCCCCTGGGCCACGTGGGCCCTGGACTGAAGCTTTCAAAGTGCTCAGGAAAAAAGGGGAAAGAGCAGCTGAGCTCTTGTAGCTGTCACCCAGCTCTGGGGTCAAGCTGCTTCAAGACAAGGCCAGGATGGCCCCCAGGAGCTGGATGCTTCCATGGGCTCCTTGCTTGCCTGAGCAGGCTGCATCGAGGGATGTGGGCAGGGAGACAGTTTCCAGTGGGTCTGTGTGGCTTTAACTCAGCTAAGCCCAGCTCCTGTCTGGGGAGTGTGGGCAGGAAGATGCAAATCCCACGGTGGGCTGCAGATCAGGCAGCAGAGCTGAGGGCAAAGCAACCAATCTGCCCCAAAACACTGTCGGGAGGCACTTCACTTTGCACCTCTGCTGGGGAGGGGCTCTGTACAACCGTGCGGGCCTCCCACGAGAGTCCTGCTTGCACCTGGTCAGGGCTACCCCTCAAGGCTCTGCAGAGCCTGGAGCAGATCCCTGAGTCCTGGGAGGGGAGGACAAGGGATGGGACGGGGCAATGAGTCCCATGCCCGCCTGGACACATCTCGGCCAAGCCTGAAACCTGCCCTGGCGACCGCAAACCTTCGGCGCGCTTGCCCGCCGGAGACGGCAAAGCCAGGCTCTGGGCCAAGACCGTGCGTCCCCGCCACCAAACGGCTGCAGCGCTTTAAAACTGGACACGACAGGTACTCGGGGTTAAAGCGACATGGCCGGGCACTTTAGGACCCAACCTTAGGCTCTCTAAAAAAAGAGAAAGAAACAAGTTTTTAAAACCCTCCATATTAGAGAAAAGGCGTGCTTTTTTTCACATGGTTTCCTCCTCCTTCGTGACCTGGAGGTGCGGTTCACTTGGCTTTAGCTACCCCCTGCAACAGGAATGGGAGGGGAGCCACTGCCCAGTGCTGCACTGGCCCTGGCTGTGTCCCTATCTCCCCAGCACCTTCACTGACCCAGGGCTGGGCACTCATCCTGGCTCAACCCATGTGCATCCACAGCAACCAGCCGCTGCCTATGGGATAGCACAGGGGAGCCAGGGCAAGAGCTCAGCACCTCCTCATCCCCATCCCCTGTGGCACACCCAGTCCCAGCACAAACTCACCCCACTCGCTGCAAGCGAGGCACTCAGTGGGCACCCATGGGTGCTGGCACAGCCAGGTGAGTTTGCAGCGGTCCCAGGTGTGCCTGAAGTGCACAGGGCCGTGCAAAACTCCCTGGCTCCTTGTCACACATTTGTGATTTTGCCACCAAGGTTTTCCCCTCCTGCCACACCACCACCCAGCATCCCAGCCTGCTCAGACTCCTATCGCGGTTTTACCATAAGAATTTGGGGAGCAAATTTAGACCTTCTCCTAGGAAGGCGGTGGCTCTTTTCCTTCCTGAAAAATCGGAGCAGGATAAATTTCGGGCAAGCAGGGTCTGACCCCCCTGCTGCTCAGCTGGCATTTGGAGCGGGGTGTTCTGCATGACCCTTTTTTGCCCCCTGAGCCCCCCACCCCCTCCCAAGAGAATAGAGAGAAGAAGGAAA